CTCTCTCTCTCTCTCTCTCTCTCTCTCTCTCTCTCTCTCTCTCTCTCTCTCTCTCTCTCTTCCTCTCCCCCCCTCTTTCCTTCTATATCTACCCCTAACACAGTGTGGTGATGGTGGATGACCTTGGTAATCTTCCGGGCGACGACGGTCTTGAGCCGAAGCGAAGAGGCTTGCGGCGCCTGAGGAAGGCTGAGCGCACGTTCCTGAAACAGCAGCAGCAACAGGAAGCTTCCATCGCAGCCAGTCAACCGGCAGGAGGGAGGAAGAAATCAGCCGCCGCTGCCACCGCCGCCACCGCTGATGACGGTGACGACGGTGGTCTACCCTCACGTACCGAAATGAGGGGGAAAGGGCGTCAATGGGAGCGCCGGCGTTGGAGAACGATCGGCCTGTCCGACCTCACTCGAGTGATGCTGGCGGCAGGGACAACCACGGAAGCGACGGGAGGGATGGAATCTGCCACAGGAAAATTCAGAGCCGTGCTGGCAGGCCTTGATGCCGGCGACTCCACGAAGAAAGTGGCAGAAGCAGACGACGAAGCGTCGATAGCAAGAGAATCAACAGTGGCGGGAAAGGGCACCGGAGCAAGCAGCAAAACCAACGGGAAGAAGGGAAAGGGCGGCGGCAAGGGGAAGCAAGCAGCGGCCGCGGCGGGCGCTGACGACGTGGAAGAAGACGACGGGGTGGCAGCGGCGAAGAGGCGGGCGGCAGACAGAGAGACAGAAGTGAAAACGTGGGCGGAGGGCATCCGCGAGGCGCTCGAGGCCGAAACGTTTGTCACCACAGCTCACAGGGCAGCAGTGGCGACGAGGGACGAGATCATCTTGGGCCTGGCGGAAAATACAAAGGTGTAGTCGGCCCTAGCGATGCTACGGTAAAAGAGGGTCACCTAACCTTACACCTTTGGGTAGGGATTTGCGGGGAGACACGCTCTACGTTAACGTATCGGCCGCGTCCCATTTCGCCGTAAGATAACCGAAAAAGGTCTACACGTTTTCTCCCAACAGCAGTGTACGATTTCATTCTAAAAGTGCACCCCCCTACCAGCATCAGCCCCTAGGGGATTATTATCTGGTTCGTTTGACTTTCCTCATCGTTATTATCTGGCGGCCAACATGCTGTCAGCCGTGCTGCTGCATTCTGAAGTGTATCTGCAGCGGAGCCCATAGACATTCTTTGGACGACCTCGTCTGAGGTATCGGGAACCCAGTGTGCCTACCCTTTCCGGAAAACCGAGGATACTCTGCCGTACAGATGGGAGCTTTAGAAGCCGAAATCAAACCATATGATTAACTTTCGGCTTCTAAAAGTTAGTCGTGCGAATCGTTTACCCGGCCACTTTCACCTCAGAGGAGGGTTACTTCCCTTAGCACTACTGTCCGTCCAATCATTCGCTTCATACCCCTCGCCACCCACATCCTGCAGAATTTTCTAGGGCCTCAGATGAGTCCTTCTGTCACCCATACTCTGACCGGGAGTATCCAGGGTCTCACGGAAAAAAACATCCCAAAGTGCCCAATCTGGTTCTCGAACCCACCACGAACAAGTAGAAGTCGGAATTAACCCATGAGACTGGTTACAGGCTAAGGGTTTGATTTAGGCTTCTTTCTTTATACTCTATTGAAAGCAGCCGAAACTAAAACCGATAGAATAGTCTAGTCTACTAATAGCCGCCAGAGCACCTTACCACCGTCGAACCAGCCCAAAAACCGGCAGCTGTAACAGGAACTGTTCAGTGTTCAGCATGACCAACCCCACACGCGAACATTCGTCTACTTGCCGTCGCTACTCGTATTCGTTCGCATATGCACCTTGTCACCCACTGGCGTCCACGCCCAGAACAACATCATCGAAATAGAGGAGCGCTACAGTCAAATGCATGATGAGGAGGCCCACTGGGGGACGGAGTGGAAGCAGCGGGTTGACCTCCTGGTCAAGAATGAGGCCTGATGACTTGGTGCCCGTGAAGCCGTGTGTTTTGATCGATTCTCGTGTCAGGATGTGTTGCTCTTCGCCGCTCGGACGTTCGGACGCCATTCTGCGCCTCGACTTGACACGAGGGAGATTATTGCCGAACAATTGCCGATGTCGAGGAGCCGCGTCGTGCACATTGGATGCGTCGCGAGACAGTTTGATGTGGCTGCGGTGTTTCTGCTGGAGAAGTCTTTTTCCAGACTGCTAGATAGGTCGAATGAGGTAAAAGGTAGCCACCGCACGACAACGCTACGGCACTACGTCAAAAATACTGCCGGAAATATCCAGAAGATCTAAAGAATGCCGCATCTTACAGTAGCTGGAGGGGAACATGACACAAACGAAGGTAATTTCGATGTCCCGAGATGGAGCCGATGGCAGAAATCGCTGCGTCCAGTTTGTGGAGGTCGAACGGTTGGTTGTCGATGTCGAAACGAAAAACGACCTGCCAGACACAGAACTATTGAGTACTTCAAGTCTTGCCATTGACTCAAATTGGCTTCGCGTATTTTTAGAAACGGAGAATAACTGCCTCAGCGAAGGCTCGAAGAGCACGCGTAGCCAAGGCACATGTACGTCTATGGCCCCAACGTCGCCGATCCCGATGGATTGACGACAGAACTGCACTGCCGCCGCCAGAGGCCCGACAAAACTTCGTCGCCTGCCTTGCCTGCTGAAACGTCGAAGGGGCTTGCAGTGCGTGCCAGGAACAAACGAAACGGATCGATAACGCATCATTTTGGTACAAGGCTGACAATAATTATCGTGACCTACAGTACCTCGGCTTCGGCACCACTACTCCTGCATGACTGCTGCTGCCCAACATGCCTCGGGGCAATACAACGCCAATTCCTACGAACTATATACAGAACAACGCAGAGACAGCAACAACAACCAATTTCTGGAGAAACAGAAACAACTGCATAGTGGAGATGGCAAGCATGATACCTACGAGTAGAGAACAGATTAGGCAACAGATTAGGCAACAGAATAGACAACAGTTTTGGGCCGAGCACGCACACTCGACCTATCCTCTGCGTTAGGCCAAAACTTGCACGTGATAACCACCGGGCCACCACCCCGTTGGGTGAAAGCCACCAACCCCCCCACCCAACCACCCCCATCCGCTGCAATTTTTGCGCCATCAGCATGTATCGGCCAGCTAGTCTAGTCAAGCAGAGACTTCGCCGTACGAAGGACTACGTGTTGTGAGACAGAAAGAAAGCACCACCATTGCCCGGGGGCCACGCATTCACAACAACTCGCTCCAGCTGGGTCAACGCTACATCGCCTTTCCTGGAAGGAAACAAGGTTAGGTAGGACGGACCTACCATCAGTTGCTCTGCGGAGTTATCATACGCCAAACATACAAAACCAGAACTACGTCTCACCGCACCAGGAAACGACAGGGAAATACGTGGTACGCGCCTCGAGCAGCAGTGGGAACCTTGGTCGAGTGGCCTCCGAAGTATAGTTCGTTTTTTAGGGACGGCCCTGCGGCGTTTCCAGGGCAACTGTTCGCTTCTCCTGGCTCAGAGTGACCGATGTCGGCGTCAACAAACGGCCACTAATAATCCGTGTCGAGACTACCAGGGGCTCCCCCAAAAACAAATCCAAGGACCCCACATGTACAAACTTTGGTTTCTTCCGCCCCCCGCCCCCCCCCCTGGGTCCCATCCCGAGACATGACTCAACGTAAAAGGAACGAACATGTACAGAAGAAGAGGGGCTCGATTACGACAAAAAAAACGGCATGGACCGGCACGGCTCTCGACGCCACAAGCGACGCCCGGAACGACGTAATAACCGTCCAACAGCTAGCCCATACTGTATGTACGCTGGCATGGTGACCATGCGTGCAATGTGCAAACTACAAACTTGTTCTTGACACCGCTCCGTACCCCTCGAGGGATCGAGAGAGGGACGGACGCAACCAGATTCCGCAGAATCCGACGTGGCAGGCGAATCTCTCGCTTCCGTTCAGCACGGCATGCTTCTACAGCTGAAGACCACCCAACATTCAGTCCCCCTGCACCCGATCCCTCTCCTTGATCACTTTCCGACCCAAGGTTACGTCGCTTTTCGCCTCCGGCCGTAGTCCCAGATTTCTCCCCGGTCGGTGTTCTCTGCCCGTGAAGGGAACAAAAACATACGGAGTAAGAGGCGTGTCGAAACGGAAATATGTACACCGCTAACACCAAGCGCGAGCCTTTTGCCCTGGCAAAACCAACCCCCAAAACTCCCATCTACCGATACTCTAGCAGACGCGAACCCCCCCCCCCCCCCCCCCCCCCCCCCCCCCCCCCCCCCCCCCCCCCCCCCCCCCC